TATTGTTATAAGTCTTATCATTATACTGTTAGGAAATGATCATGTGAAATACTGAACAGCATCACGCTCTTTCCCCATTTCACAAAAAAGCAGGTTAAGTGCATATTGCTACAAATTTTCAGGGACAACACCACTCTCCCCTGTGCACTTGGCCAGGTATTAGAGAATGGGGTCAAGAGCCTGTCTCCTTCAATCATGTTTATGGTGTCCATCACCTCAGAAACTTGCAGAGACTAAGCCCTGCCTTGCTTCCCAGGTAAATCGACAGCAAAACTCCACCTGATATTAATGATTTAGAAGCACATAATGGCATTATGTCTGTCACACAGGCAATGAGGCAGAAATGACTTCTCCTCCTCCCCCCATGAACCAGGTTAAAAGTTGTAAATTTTTGAGGCAAAGTAATACAGCCAATGACAGAAGCTGCTAGTCAACAGCGTCTCTAAAGGCAACTGCTATATCACATTGCAGGTTTGAGTAACAGAGTAAGAAAGAGCCTGATCTGAAATCCACTGAAATCAAAAGAAGAAAATTGTACTCTGTGAGATCGGGCAGTCTTTTCGCCAAACAGCAAATTCCCTCTACAGTCCACGGGAGTGACACGCATTGCAATTTTGCAGGAGCAGCTGCTGTCTTTTATTGCAAGCTAAGAACTAGCCAGGATTTTCTTATGACAACAATGATTTAATTTTTTAAATTTCTTCTTATCTTATGTGTGTGATACAATGCTGCCTTGCAAAGTGATGAGTTAAAAGATCACAGTTAGGGATACCAGTACCTCACATAACTAGCCACCAGGCTTAAAAATATTACAGTGTAACAGGCTCGCCTTGAGAACAATTGCAGTATGAGCTTTCTCCACAACCATGTTTCACATAGGAACTCTGGCTGTCAGGTGAGGTTGTTATACTGCTACAACACATTAGATAAAGAACCATCTTTGGAACCCCGAAGGAGCTGAGAGTCACTTTGACATAAATAAGAAGCTGCATGACACCCCGCCGTCTTATGGCATTTACGTATGCCACTAACATATCTTACTTCTTATAGTGCCCAACAGACTGTATGTGGATTTTAATCCCATTTGCTTAATATATAACATGCAATCCTATCGGAGACAGTCCCATGTTCCAATGCATTGTAAATAGTCTATGATACACCCTGGCAGAATCATAAAAATATAATAAATAATTTGATTATTGTATTTTCAAAATGATATGCAGTAGTGACTTACTACTTGTCTGCTTATGTGGAGCTTTGTAAGTTCAAAGCAGTGTGCAGGCATTAAAAAGACCATGAAAATTTTATGCTTTATTTACAAAAAGGTGGACAGTGCCTAAAATTCAAATGCAGCACACCAATGCAAAATACAGCTTTTATGATAATCTCTCCTGTAGCCACAGTCACATCACGTTTACAAAGTACAAATCTAATTACTGCGCCAAGCACAGGACATTAACAAAGCCACTGCTCACCATCAGCTGTCCTGGAGAAACACTCTTAATAATAATCTCTTCCTACTTATCTGTTGGATGAAGCAGAAGCTATTTCCAGGGAAAATTCTAGTAGATCTTTCTAAAAAATTAATATGCAAAGATCTTTCCTAACACCCGACATAGCACTGCTTAAGCCAACTCATTACTTCAGTTTTGAGCACAATTCAGAAATACAGTATGAGAACTTAACATAGTATTATAAGCTGAGGATAACCACTAGCCTTTTCTTTAGGATAGTTGTAAGGAAGAACTAGATTTCTTTACGGAATCATATAGCTAAAACAACTTTCCAAGTAGGAAACTGATGCATGCAAGGGAAGACGGATGTGTTTTAGCCAGGGTGTGGTTTTGTGAGCACGTTCCAGAGAGACATAGAGAGAAGCAGGAGAAAAAACTATCCAAGAAAAGATAATATGAGCTTTTTTCTTGCTCCCTTTGCTCTGTCATGACTGTGTTCTGCCTTGCAAAGAAACAGTCTTTACAACTGAGCAAGTGCTTTCCGTCTCAAACTTTTAAATGGAAACTGAAGACCTCGTTTTCCCATGCGGTACGTGGACCAGGGATTGAATTGTGACCCAGAAGCTGTACTTCCAGTGCACACGCCAGCTCGTGATAAATGTGCATTCAAGCTTTAGATAGGTCATATTCTGGTAAATAGGGAGATCTCTCGTCCCTTGAATGCTTTCTCTAGCGCAGGACGCAGTACGGAGACACAATGATCGTGTAGCTTGCGCAAGACTCTTCTTTGTGAGGGAAGCTTTTAATAGAAATAACTTCCTGGGGCTTTGTGCCCTTGCCCTCTGAACCTTGCCTTCCTCGCGGCAACGCATGAGGCACGCCGGTGCGTATTTTAAAGTTTCACAGCGGAGGTCCTTGGTGACTCTGGGGGAGGGGTAATTCTTCAGCGTGAACCCCACAACTAGGCCAGGGTTATGTGAAGAATAAAACAGGATTGTACATGGGTATGGAGAAGTCAGGTGTTGCCTTTGCTACCTCTGTTGTCCTGTAAAGCAAAGAAGGACTTCTGAGAGGCGTTAGAGCGCAAATCCAGCTGTACGGGCTCCCTCTGTGGGTTTGCAGACCCTGTCCTCAGCGCCTAACACACCATTCAGCACACAGAGCAGGACACCCTCCCTGCCACTCAGGGTGAGGAAATTCCTCCCCCCCCCCTTTTTTTTTTTTTTGGCCACTGCTGGCTCGTATAGCTCTGCCCTGTGGAATCCAATATAGGTACTCGGTGCGAATAATCTGCATTTCTGGAGTGAGGCACGCCTGGTCTTTCAAAAGTCTGTGTAGCCTGGCACACCTGAACAACCCCATGGGATGCAGCCACAGTACATAACCACTGCTGAGGACAGTAACTGCCAGGTCAGTATTTGGTAGAGATAAGAAGGGAATCCCATACAAACATACCTATAGTGTGTTATAGTGCAGTGGCCTAGCACTGCACTTATATCCAGAAAAACCTCATTATATTTTCAAAGGGAAGAGAAACCAGGAAAAAGCTGCAAAACTTAAAGGTGTGCCTGGCAATGTAGATAAATGATCATTCCTTGGAAAGGTAAGCAGAAAATTACAAGGGGCTGATAATTTTTTACACTGATAATTGAAGTAAACTGGATTTTGAAAAGAATCAGGATATTAAAAGGATAAGTTCTTAAAAGTCTGCACACTCATCTTAGCAGAACATGGTTCAAGAACTAAAATCTCCCAGACTTGAAACGTAACTTGAATGAGCAAAAGTTGTGGCAACTCTTAACTCTAAAGCTCAGCAAGTACCTGCTACTTTTAAGGCAAAGTAAAAGCCATATTCCCAGTGTGGAGGCACTCAATAAGGACTTACATCTGTGTCTTTGAAAATTACTGAGAAGTTATATTGTTGTAACTACAGCAACGCTTTGCAGAAACTGGGATAAGTGGGGCCAGCTTCTGCACTCATAAGCCAACGGGACTGCACCAGGAAAAAACACAGGCTGAATCCCCGTGCAATATGATGATGTTTATAGGTTAAAGTTTGCAGTAATCACAGTCTTCTAATAGCCTAACTTTTTGGCTTCAAGACACTAATTAAGCAATTCTCCGAGCGCACGGGATTAAATCGTTGCTCAGGAGCTGCAGCAAAACCAAAGGCCGAGCTTTGCTGTGGGGCCATAGGATCAGGCCTGCGGCTCAGAGAGGCACATGATTTGATCCCCAGCATGCTGTCAGGGAGCCCTGTAGAAGCAGGGGTCAGTATTAATCTGCGCCAGACCTGCACACTGGTGCAAATTACCTGCTCTGGGCATATTAGCCGGGTCACTGTGTATCCTAATACAGTTAAACTTATTCCGCAAAATCCACGTGTAAAGGGGAAACCTTTTCATTTCTGTGCTCAGTGATACCGTTAACATAATAAATGAGCTGAATGTCCTGTAAAGACCAGCAAAACAAAGCCAACCTTTACGGAGAGTGGCATTTAACAAATCCTATTAGCCACCACGAGCTGACTGCTTGACCCTCGTCTCTCTCAGCAATCACAGCAGGCCTAAGAGCTGAGTGCTCTCCCCGGGCGCTTTGCCGGGATACCCCTTGCCCTCCGCCGAGCCGTACCCTTCCCCAGCTCACACTGCGGCAGGATGCAGCACGGAGGTGAGTTATTTCACGACTCGACTCAGCTACGGGTTGCAAGCCTAAAGACCTGCTACGTCCTACAGACCTCTGCTCCTGGGTGATGAAGGGATCGTCCCCCCTCACCTACCTTGGAGATGCAGAGCGAGATCCCGCACATAAACTCCTCTCTTGCGGCGGGAACGCTAACATCCCCAGGTGGACCCCGCTAGAAGTCTAGCAAGGGAAAGCCTTTCTGGGTGTTTCTAGGAGTTGCTTTAAACATAGACACCTGAAGGAGACATTAGCTCTTTGCTTCGGATTTTCACAGCTCTCAAAAAAATTGCCACTGAAGATGGGTATACTTGCTTACTTTATGTTTGCCCATAAAACCCAAGAAAGCTATTTTACTTTGCTGTCTAAAAAAAACAGAGAAAAGTATCTCATGTGCTTCAGGTGAGTGAAATTTTGAGGGGCTGCATCAGATGCATCATTTTATGCCTTGTTTTTAGTACTTGATTTCTACTGTATTTTTGCAAATAAATATTAGACCTGAGGGGCCAATTTCTCAGCTACTGTAAATCAGCACAGCTCTGTTGACTTGAATGGGACTATGCTGGTTTATGCCCCCGGGTATTAGCCTAACCATGGGCTTGGTATGCTTTTTAAAGTTAAAAAAACAGGTTTGTTCCAAATTCAGCTGCTGAAAGAAAAGGAGATACACGGGCATAGATTAATGTAAACTACAGCTTTAAATGACAGACTACTAAATATTTGCAGGACTTAAAGATTAACTGTAAAAATCCACTACCCTTGGTGAGATAGCCAGAAAATTACAGCCTATATATATATATGTATACATATATTCCACAATTATTCAGTAGGTGGCAGTTAAAAGCTTAGATGAGCTTTGCAGTCGCCATTTAGGCAGTAGCACCAGCAGAGGCTGGAGTCAGTCCATCCGTAAAAGCAGAAAGCAAGCGAGAGGCTGCAACCAAGCCAACAAAAGCATTAACCACGGCCCAGGCACTCGGAGAGAAAGCGGGAGAGGAGCAGAGCAGCAAGAGCGCGAGCCACAGAGCGCACGCACATCCGACAGCAGTAACCACAGAGCGCGAGAGAAAGAGGCAGACGACGGAGCTACAGCCCCTTGATTAAGGCACGGACACCTTTCTGGTGGAGAAAGCCCACAGCAGAGAGGGTGAACAGCTGGTGCGATGACAGGCAGAAACTGAAGAGCATTTGGAGCCTTCTGTTCCTTCACAGGTAATTTCAATCATTTTTTTTCTGCAGAGGCTCTCATAATAAACCTAGCATTGCATTGATACTAGAGGTCTTTATTTCCTTTGGTCAAAATCCACAGTCGTCGCTCAGGCAAAATTTCCACTAAAGTCAATAGAGTTTTGCACGAGTTATGACTGCAAGATTTGATCTGACTGTATATCTCACGTAGAGAACACAGCGTGTTATAAGCTGGGGCTGGAAAGGAAGCCAGAGGCTGGTCCATACTGACCAGCTAAACAACATTATTTTTCAGTATGCTAGTAAGGGCTTCATAACCTTTTCTTTTCTTTCTTTTTTTTTAAACTGTCTTGCATTAAAACCTCATGTGCTGAATTTTGCCCTAATTTGTACCACTGCCACTGCAGTGGTTTAAGGAGAGGTTGCAGTTTTTTAAATGAAAGCTACATTCAACCTCAGGTGATGAAAGACTAAAAAAATGTTGAGTTTCAATAAAATAACGCCAGGGCTTTCTTTCTCTGAAACAAACACAACTTTGCCGGATTCCACTCACAGGCTGACAATATTCTATTTAGTCAGTAGCTTGTGCCACTCACTGAAATAAAGGAAAATAAATCATGAAGGGCCATTCTCAAGTATCTGCAAGTGACATGAATTCAGAGTTGATAAGACTTCCTCTCTTGCTATGTTCTCTGCAAAAGGTGGGATGTTCTATATGCTGCAGCACTCAGTCACAGCCCTGTGAGCTCAGAATGGAGCCACAAGATTGGATGTATTTTTGTGAAAGTATTTTCTAAATGTATTGTTTCTATGAGTGCCTTATTATACATGAATACATATTCATGTATATATGCCTATTTATAAATGCACACATGTATAGGTATGTCATGTCTGCATACATATACCCCTCCAGTAAAATGAAGCGTTTACAATTTATTGTTGTTACACATTTGCTAGGGTTTAGTTGATTGTGTCTAGAATGTTTGCAGATCCCATGATTTTTAATTCTGGATCAGATGGCTTGGGTTTTGTTTTTGGGCACTCTTTTTTTTAATCTTTTCTTTTCTGACTAATGGACTCCACTCGAGTTTCGGGAGCTGCTCCCCCACCCCACAGGCTCCAGCTGTACTTACTACACTCAGTAGTGCCCGACTCTTGTGGAATGGTATCTGTGCCATCCCTCAGGCTGTGAGACATGGTCTTCCTCCAGGTTTCATGCTCCCTCTCACAGTGTGCACCTCACTTGACAGGCAGTTGCATGAAGGACTGTCCAAACATGGAACAGGTTCAAATACACAGTTGCAAATCAATGGCCCCATGGAACCAAAAGTCTGGGGGAATGATTGCAGTGTACAGCTATTTATCTTCCTTCCTGTGCAAAGAGAAGAATGAGTGGGTAGAAACTGGTTGTGCACACATTTAGACCAGAAGGTTTCAAACCACTACAGCAGCAAAGCTCTGGAATTACCTTCTCAGTGAAATATCAGAAACAAAAGACTCTAAATGTTTTTCAGCTGGAACTTGATTCATTTATGGAAGCGATTACATTAAATGGTTGCCTGCAATGGTAAAGGATTGGATTTGATAATCCAGAAGGTCTCTTTCAGTGCTAAATTCCTATTCTCCTTACTATTCATTGGGAGTTGCCTTTATCGAAAGGTCTCTCTGCAAATGGGTCAAGGTCTTTGGTAACAAAGTTGTTCATGCTACCCACATCAATGCCAAACACAAGCATATTTCTCTTCTAGATTGTGCTGCACTTCTGCTTGCACCACAGTGGCCCTACAGCAAAAACGTGAGCCTTGATGGTCCTAAGGCTGAATAATATCCCTCTCTCAGAGTGCAGAGCAGAGCTGTTCTTAACCTTTGGACAACAATCAGCGTATACTGGCATGGCTACATACTGGTCTAGTGGTCAAGCTCGTATTACACATTACACCATATTCCATCAGCTCTGCAATCTCTGCAATACCAGCAAAAATAGTGGATCAGATATAAATTGATATTGCTGTTACTAAAGCTGTTACTAATGGTGGTTCTAGTTTTCTTTGAGGTTCACCTGGTACTTTGATTTTGCGCTAACCAACACATTTACCCACGTAAAGATGCCACCATGGTGGGTGAAAAGGCAGAGACCCATACTTTCATTGTGATGGATGGTGTACTATTTGCCAGCCTTAGCTTACCTTAACAAATGGCTATAAAAAGTATTTTAGTTCAAGGATAATCTCACAGAATGGTGACTTTCAACTCTGTATTCCCTTTTCCTCTACTTTCTCTTTTTAATCAAACTCTACTTTTTTGTCATTGTTATTCAAGAGGACACCACCACACTGAATTGCTTTTAATTTGCAATTTACCCCAGTATTTTGTAGTATGTAATAAGCTGCATTTGGATCTTTTAGCTCCCAGGCTGCATGTGAATATCAGGCCATTTGTATACTTTAAATGGAAATTTACTGTGGAACCAGTGGTACCAGTACTGTTCAGTACGTAGTCTGGTATGAAATCTTCCTTATTTTTTTTCCTCCTAATACTTCTTGCTACTAGGCCTTGAGCAAGTATCAGTATTACATACCAGAAGAAAAATAGCAATTTTGTGAAATATGAATACACAATATTAGAAATATTCATTTTCTCCCTCTTAAATGAACTATTTATTTAAGGGCACCAGAAAAAATCATATTGGAAAATGTATTCTGTTGGCTCTTTTTTAGCTTCAGCCCAAATAAAGGTCTTTCAGTATGAGCAAAGACCTGCTTCTACTGCACTTCCTATTGTTACAAAAGGCACTCTAAATTAGCTTAATGCCGCAAAGGCAGTGAATAAAACCCACCAAGTGACAATAGAACTGGATGTATGGATTGAAATTAAGCATGCCTCTTATTTGCCTTTTAGTAAAAAAAAAAAAAACCAACAACCGTAATTACTAGGTAATTCTCAAACTGAATGTGAAAGCAAGATGAGCAAAACTTCAAATGGTAGAGAAAAAGGGTGTCAAGGCTGTGACAAACACACTTTCCCCTTCACACCAAAGTCAGTAGCACCTCCTCAGAAGCAAATAGAGCTGAGGTGAAGGTCAGACTTGTGTATCTGCGATGCAAATCCGTCTCTGATTTATTTGACTGTGTAGGGCTGCTGGATGGTATAGCAGCGAAATACAATCCCCCTCACACTGACTGCAAGTGATGGAATGGACTTTGGTTGAATCTGAATAGGCGGCAATGAAGTCGTGACAGTCTTTTAACTTCCCTGTTTCAAATGGATATGTAGCGAAGTGGTATGAAAAGAGCAAATCCATTTCTGGGCTGCAGAAGGTTCCTTCCCGAAATGTTCCAGTAGCGCTGACTTAAAAGCAGTATGAAGCTCCCACAAGGAGAGCTACCTTCTTTTATTTTTTCTTATGTTCTTCCTTAAAGATCTAGCGTAACAGCTTTTCTTCTGAAAAAGTCAGTAATTTCAATAATCAAATATTTGCTACCATATAGTTGAGCAATAGCTCAAACACTGCTGTAAGCCCAACTAAACAAATTTTCCTTCAATCCAACATTCAAAAATTCCTTCAAACAAACATTAAAATGTTGATGTGGTACTGAGAAAGTATTTCTAACTTTTCTAGTGCTATAAAGAAAATAAACATGAATTGAGAACAAACTACCATTAAGGCTATACCTATCATTCTTAATTCAGAATAGCAACTAGTTAAAGCTGGGGTAGTTATGAAAATGAAATTTCTTTTCTTTTTACAAGTAAAACCAAACTTCAGTAAAGAAAGTGTTCAGTTTTCTGAAAGTGTTGGCATTAGAGAGACAGATTTGAAAACTAATTTTTAAAGAAAATACATTTTAGTGTAGCAGGAAGAATAAATAAAATTTCCAAAAAATTCAGTTTATGATAAATCGTGCATCACAGACAGCATACAGCTTCTTGTCAATATTTGGAAACTCCTGTCAGAAATCTGTCATTGCTGGATCATACCCCACAGTTACACTTTAATCACTGATTTTCAACCCTCTGTGACGTGCAGACAATTTTCAGCAGAATCACAGACTTCTTCCTCATGCCTGGGAGTGTATTGACAATGGGACTGCACTACTTAATCACTTCCCAAGGATCCTTCTGGCTCCTGAAAAGCACTGCATTAACCTATTCACAAGTTGCTGCCTAAGAAAAACTTGCAAAATTTATTGCATTGGCTGGTAGGCTTTTTGGAAGACTTGCCATGTGAAGTTAGGACAGCAAGACAAACAGCAATATTCTCACTCAGACCTGAGCCATATTGTTTTGAATAGGAGTATTATTTGGGCTGTGTAAGAGTATCTGTCTGTGTCCCAATGGCCAAGACAGCAATCACTACATGCCTGGCAAGGAAAGGGAGCTATAGGCTATGGATATGCGTAAGTCAGCAGCCCTTAATCTTTGATGATTCTGCTTCTGTAGGACACTTGGGCAAATGGCTCCAAATTAAAACTAAGCAACAGAGGACTACAGAGGAAAGGCAAAAGGGTGACTAGTCTTTGCACTTTTTCCTCTGCTGAATGGAAAGCAGTCTTACATGGACACATCACTCTTCTGTGTAAATATACACATTTCTATGGAAGTCAGGCGTTGCCTGTGCTGGGACTTCTATCACGACCCTCACAATATATGCCATTTAACATCCAAAGCTTCTAGAGCAAAATGATTATTTGAGAAATTTTGCTTTTCATTTTGGGGGCTTGTTTAGTGCTTTGTGTGTTTATAACTTTTTCTATTCAGAAAAATTGAAGAACCACACTTCTTTCCATAAGATGCAGAATAAAAAGTCACATTTTTTGGCTACTGGACACCTGGAAAAGCAGAAGCTCACAAGAGTGTAAGATGGTAGTTAATTGCTAAAAGGAATATTATTTTGTTCAAAATAGAGTGGCTGAAGGTCAGACTGAATCTCTGATCCTGCAAATATTTATACAAGTGAAAAATTTCAGTTAATTTCCCTACTGTAGTTAACTGCTCTACCTCATAGCACAATGTTCTACATGTTG